TCACCAACCATGGCGACACCTGATCCGAACCGTCGTGAAGCACAAGACGGACCGAACCCATCCGTTCCAGGGTCGGAAGGTATCGGGGGCGGAAGCGTAGCTCATGAAGAGCCCATCGACCTTGAAGAGTGGAGAGGGTCAGCTGCTGCATTTACTGATCCAAACGAACTCCGTCACGAACTCCGCAAAGCTCGTATGTATCGCGGCAGGGTGAGAACCGGGTTCTCAGAACCCAATTGCGGGGGGTCAGAGAAGTCCTGGCTAACATAATCGGGACAGCGCCCGATGATCTTGCCGCGATGAACGACTTGGATCAACGAGAGAGAGATATCGAAAAGACCCTTGAGGAAGCTATGGCCTATGTCACCGCATTGGAGAATAGATCCGAAGAGTTGGTGGCACTGAGAGTCTCCTTACACACTTCGAGAAGCTATTCTGCTCTGGATGTTCGAGGAGCTCTTCAGTCTTCTGAACAATCTTGTCCTGAGGGCCATCCCCCTTTAGTCCTCGACCTACTGTCGATGGATTCTGCGAGCCATTATGAACACAGAGAACGCCATTCTGAGCCGAGACTGGAGCAAGTCGTTCTTAAGCAAGGATCAGAAGCCAGGAAAGGAAAGTCAAAATGCGATGCTGGTATAGTTGGTAAACTGACTGTGGTCTCATTGAAAGACGCTTTCAAATTTCCGCAGCATTGTCGAAGACTCGAGGAGGTTTTAGTGGAGATCCATGCAGGTGAATTTGCGAGTGATGGTGAAACGTTCGTCGCATATAGCGAGCTGAGGCATACGTGCACACAAAAGTTGTTGTCCACCCGTCTACGACTGCGCATTATCCACTTACGAAGTGCATGGAGACCAGTGGGATGTGATTGTTAAAGCCTGTAAGAAAAGGTTTGCCAAGAGGACCATTCTCCTGGAAGAGCTCAAGACCCGTACGCAGAAGTTGGAGTTTACCCGGGTCAAGGATTCCGAAATCTTCCTCAAGGATATCATTGCAATTAACGAGCTTTATCGCATAGTTCATCCTAGGGATAGTGCTCAAAAAGCACAGTTCGTGCGAAAGATTCTAGCTCATCTACCACGAGAAGTGGTCTTGGGTGTCATCCGTAGATATCGAGCACTATGCGGCTCACCAGAGGGTGATTGGGAAGTCGCAGTGGAGTTCCACTCTTTAAGCGGCCTGAATGATGATACAATGACCGAGTTCATCAAGGCGGAATGCCGTTTATTGGAAAAGGCTGACTGTCTCAAGAGGGAGGTGAGTGGGAGTCGAGATGCGGTGAAAGCTATTACCTCTGAGTCGGCGAATGACTCTGGGAACATTACTCCTAATGCAGCTAAACAAGTCCCTGCAAGGGAATGGGTGAAAAGTTTTGCTGTGGCTTATGGAGTCACTGGCCGAGGGTGTCGCACTCTCCCGAGAAGGAGCCGAGCGGGCAGGATATACTATATCGTTGGCTACAATCATAAGAGATTTGGCGAAGAAAAGATTGCCAGTCTACCCAAGAGTATGTTCAAGTGGTGGGAGTTTCAAGATAAGCCTCCGTTTGGATCCTCGGGAAGGGAGGTTACCAAGCAAAGCTCCCATTGAGACGCGTGATGGCGTGCAGTCTCAGGGTTCTGCTGCACCCGGATGCCCACTTGAGGAGCCCAGTATTTATCAAGAGCATCTCAATTCAATTACTTCACCCCCTGAGTCTCGTCGCGGTTGTAATGTTATTCCACCAGAAATCGTTGTGGGTGTTTCCCTGCGGTTCTATGGTGCGGAAGACAGTATGCCTCCTCTCCCGGGTAGTTGTGTCTTAGACACAGCCGCTGGAGGTTCTTATCTACTTGTACCTTCAATCCCAGAGTTTGTATCTGTATGCCACATTGATCCTTACAGGATTAATAACCCTATAGTTGTAAGTCTGGCAGATGGGGCCAGAGTAAGGGTTGAGTACGGTATCCGATGCAGTCTGAGTCTCTCCGATGTATCGGGTAATGTTGTGAGAACCACGGACACCGATATCCGACTATTGGTTTGTCGAAAGGCGGTTTTGACACCGAGTCTATCTATATTGGCAGGCCGCTCTCTCCTCCAAGAATGGGATATGGTTATTGTTGGTTCCCTCGCAGCCTATGTCGGACGGAACTTCGAACATTGCGTGTACGAAGCTCCGATTCCCGGGAAGCTCTGTGGAATCCATCAGGAATGATATAGTAAGCGCTAGCTCTAACTACTCGAATGTGGGCCATGAAAGCGCCACAGTGGCTAGCTATGCATGTACTCCGAAGTTTACTCCCAGAGAGTGGGATTTAGCCAGGGTTATGCATCTCAGTGAAATCTGACTCGTGAAATTTCATGTCGAAATATTTCACGAAATTTCATGAAATTTCGCGAAATGTGAAATTAATATTTTTTAGCGCGCGCTGTCGCGCGCGCGATCTCTGGCGTGGCTAGTTCGACGAGCGCATTCCTGAGGTATATAATGCAATCTCAGGCGACTGCAGTCACTATTCATAGAACGTGTGTCTGATAGGCTGCTCGCCCTACCATCATCGCGATTCGGACACTCAGCAAATGAAACCACACTTGAAACGGCTTCGCAAGTTCGCAAGAGCTTCAATTACATCAGATACGGAAGATACCTCCGTCTTTCCGCTTGAGCATACGTCACTGCATATACTTTTGCAAGATCCCGTTTTAGCGCAACTTGCCCCACTTCCTAATGATGGGTCTTCGATTGAGCCACTTTCTGCTACGGAGCAGGTCTCCGATTGATCAACAACCACCTAACTCATGACGCTATCAATACTACCATTTTTCGGTGCGGGATCGACTTCACTAATCACACTCATGTCATCGTCATCGGTCTGGTCAACTCGGCTTGCTCCTGCGCGGCCCCTCGAAATAAATTTGCCCATCGATCTAATTGCAGAAACATTTATCCATGTATGTATTACTAGGTGTCGCCGATCTAGGACCTAGACCGGCGACACCTAGACTCTAGGTGTATTCGTTATGCGTAACCTCCCTCGATACTGTGATTGCGGCCCTGTTCGAAAGGTGGGCAGGAGACGACCGCCTCGCAGGTACGCAAAGCAGGTGCAATATCTGGTCTTACTGAAACGCGAGACTCAGCATCACTGTCAACAGCTTCGTTGAATGTGATGAAGTGGAAAGCAAAGCAACGATTCATCAATGCATCGAGCGGAAGCACATCAGATTCCTCAACGCCTGAAGACAACAACAAATCGGTAGATCGGACACCTAAACATGGGTCTCGTGGCTTTCTCAAACAATCGACTACTGTGTGAGCACAACTAACTAATCGACGATGGAGAAATGAATCGATTCATCGGAGTCTCTACTTGTCGGATACATGCACCTATCAATCATTGAAGTCACAGCTTCGGTGCGCCCCGCCAGGATTTCCAGGGCGAGCGAGATCTGTTCACGAGCGGCGCAAGTTAGATTCGCAGGACATCCGTGATAATTATCTAGATTATGACTGCTTTATTAAAGCTATGTTGTGGATATGATATTCTTCGATGTTGGGGAGCGTGAAAAGCCCCAAAAAGTACAAATTTTAGCCAAAAATCTTCAAATTTCAAAATTTCGCGAAATTTCAGCGCGCCGCTGAAATTTCATGAAATTTTTGAAATTGAAATTTGCGGAACGCGAAATTTCACAGGGCCTGCACAACCCTGGATTTAGCTGAAAGCATCATGTCCGAACTTATGTCTGAATCTTGGACTATTGTTCGGAGTACCTCTGGTGCCCATCAAGCGAGAGTACGGCCTGTGAGCAGAAGCTAACAGCGAGATTTACCAGAGCAACAGTATGTTTGTGAGATACTCGTTCCCAAGATCGAGTGTTCTGGTGATTTTTCTCCGAGAGCGTATGCATCCCGAATGTATGCCCGGCTTTAACAGCATCTAAAAAAGGCTTACCGCGAGCTGGTGAATGCATACGTCGATGCCAAATTTTTGTTTCCTGAGAGTCCTGGTGCGATCCATGAGCGAGCAAGTTTGCCCCGAGCACAAGTATTTCTCCTCCCAGGGGGAGCTAGAAAGCCTAGGCTTGTCGTGGCGAGATATCAATTCGAGGCTACCATCGGCATCATCGAATCGGCCTTCGCTCTGGTTACCTATTGCTGTATTGCGATTGTTTGGGTGGGCGTACTATCATCATTGGCGATGCATGGGCAGCGTTCTATAAGGTCAGGCTGGTGAGAGAAGATGAAAAGCCTTACGTCATATCACTCGAAACTGGGATTGGGAATTTCGAGAGTTCCCGACTTGTGTTTGGGATTGTGGTCGGTCCCAGCGGGCTCCCAGCTAGTCTAGACCGCATCATTGAGAGAGTCAGAACCTGTGGGTGTCGAGTGCAGATCGTCGTCCTCCCCACGAGCATAGCGACACTCATCATATTTGTTGATGATTTAGCACTCAGTGGGGAACTCGAACACGTTCTAAGTAGGTTCCGCATTACCCTGGGAGCCATGGAGATGGTTGGCTTCGACGTACAAACAGCTAAGGTACACATAATGGCGTGTGAATCTGTCCGAGATCAACTACGAGAGGCACCCAAAAAGCAATTCGTTGGTGTACCACCAAACATTGTCGGCGAAGCAGACTTATTGGGGATGAAAGTGCGATATGAAGGGCCTGATACCGTTATGGTATGTAAGCGCGAAAAGCGGATAGCCACAGTGAAGCGTTTCATCGAGAGCGCACGGCATAGCACTCTAACGAGTAAGCGAAAGGTCTTCCAAGCGGCTGAATGCGTTGCTTTCGACCCTTCGAGGCAGCACGTGCTCAGTAAAGCATGACATGCTCTGCACATTGTGCAGACAGCATACGTTCACTTGTGGCCAGGAACTTCAACAAGACGGATTGGCCTGTCGAGATCGACATCTGTTCTCTTCCTACGTTGCTACAGCAAGCCTTTGTATGTTTGATATACTGGATGGCCGAGTTGGTGCTCGAGGATTGCTGTCATCGATCACCAGGGAGAGACCTACAGAACGCGAAGCCCCTTCTGATTCATGCGTATAGCGACGCTGGTTCCACTGTCGCAGGTTATATAGCATATTTGGGGGAGGCTGGCCAAGGGACAGTGCTTTTCGCCGAGTGTTTCCGGCTCAAAGCAAGTGAGCGTAAATGACATAGTAATCGCCGGGAGATGGCTTGCTTGCTACGGTTGCTTCAAGACCTGTATGACTTGGTGAAGTACCGAGAAAGTGGGGCAATCGATGACCGGAACGAAGAGGTCAAAATACTCCTGCACTGCGATAATTCTGCGTGTGTCTCATGGGCCAATAGTGTCGACAGCTCCTCCCTGATAGCTTCCTCTAAAGCTCTCGAACGTAGAGCGTTGAGCAGGTTGGTTGGTTCTCTGCATGAAGAGCTACTAGCGTTAAGGAGATTGGCTAATCTGAAGATTGTCCACCTAGCTGGCTCGAGGCACGGCATAGCCGACGGGCTCTCTCGCACTTTTGACCGTAACGTCAACGACTCGATTATGTCATTGGCAGATAGCCTCTGCCAGGGGGCGGTTCGCGAGCAGTCCAAGCAGAGCAGTCCGCAGTTCGCGAGTGAGCAGTTCGCGAGTTCGCGAGGGATCCCAGCTATCGTATAGTATATTATATTTCGTACTACGCATAAGTGATATATTTTATACCAAGTACCGATGATCACAAATCACATTACAGTTCAAAAATATTTCAGGGACTCACTGACGAGATGAGATTGACCTCCCCGGCAATGCGAAACTTAGTTACCAGTACTCACCGAGATCCAAAGATTGACATTCAACCACCACATCAGTCAGGGGTTGAGTTTCAAGTTGAAACTTTCAACGATTGAATTTTAACTCACTCAAAGAAATAAAGCATTCTAGAGTCGTTAGGCTAGTACGTGAAGTCGGACTCACACTGCAACCCGATACAACAAGCCAGGCAAGTCAACTTTTACTCCTAGCTCGCCCACAATCATTGTGGGATTGTGTCATTATGGCATCCAACCTTCCCCCGGTGGCATCCAGCCCTCTTACAGTGCCATCCAGCCATTTCACATTGGCATCCAGCCATCTCACATTGGCATCCAGCCATCTCACAATGGCATCCAGCTATCTAACATTGGCATCCAGCCATCTCACATTGGCATCCAGCCATCACACATTGGCATTCAGCCATCTAACATTGGCATCCAGCCATCTCAGATTGGCATCCAGCCATCTAGCATTGGCATCCAGCCATCTAGCATTGGCATCCAGCCATCTCACATTGGCATCCAGCCATCTCACAATGGCATCCAGCTATCTAACATTGGCATCCAGCCATCTCAAATTGGCATCCAGCTATCTCACATTGGCATCCAGCCTCCCCTTAATGGCGTGTAACCCCCAGCCAAACGACAATTCAAAATTTCGACTGAATCCAACGACCAAATAATCTACGATAACATCTAATGGATTTTCCATCTCTCACAGTGAGCGCTTCAAAGGAAGAACGAATCACAACTTTCCGAGAGGTCATATCACACTGAATTCGACGCATTCGAACCAGGCAAATTGACAACTACGGTAGCGCGAAACACTAAGTATATTACACCTCCCTTTCGAGTACAATCTTTCTCGCTATTCAACCCATAGTCCCCATTAGAATACCCATAGTCCAAATTTTTAATCGGAGACGTCGACCCGAAGCGAGAGATGCCGAGCGCTACCTCCCAAGTGTACTACATTACAACTGGTGCCTGAGCTTTAGTCAGAAGCCCTGTAAGCTCCTGTCCAGGGACGCCGCGTGGAGGCACTCAGGAAAGTCCCCATTAACTAAATGGTAACTGGATATTAATCGATCCAACACCCCCCAACCACATCACAAACCATTCGCTCGTTTGTTGACCTAGCCCAATAAATTGACCTTCATATACATTACGTGAGGTACATCGGTGACAATGTCGTGCAATCATTCGACTCACATACTAATGTTTCGACACGGAATTCGCAATACGGTATTGCCAATACCTGACCTGTTGACAAAGAATTGCTGTTAAGTGTAAATTCACGCCTTGCGCACGTACACAAATCATATACGTGCGCAAGGCGTGAATGTAACATGTAACATGATTATGTCTAACGGAGCGCGTATCGCAGATATGTCGAATGTGCGAATCACGAAACGTGTTTCTTACGCATCCTACGGTAGGATTCCTACCTACTTATGCTAAGTAACTCAGCAAAGATATATAACCCAATGTTTGGTTTCTTACTAACGGACGCAACAGCAACAGCGATGTAGAAATACGAGGTGGGCATATTACTCACTTGATAGGGCAACACCACTAGGTCTTCGGTGCGAAGGGGCGGAGCTCGCTGAGCTTCTCATCAAGAATTCAGCGGGCTCTTACTGAAAATATTTTGGAAATTGGGTGACTAAAAAAAGGTTGTCGGGGGTTGGGTGGCGTCGCCGACGTGGCCGACAACTGTCTCCTAATACAGGCATGTGCGAAAAGTAATCATCGTAAAAGTTGAACTTGGTTCGTTCGGTAGAGAGTTGCGATCACTAACGTACTTAGCTAATAGCTCATCTTCTACGCGAAGAACAGTCACACTTTTGTTATATTTTTACGCTGATGAGCAATCAACGGGGGACAGAATGATACCCTGTTTGCCTTCTGAGTCGCCCTGGTCGGATCGGAATTTTTGCTCACGCACGGACGGACGGACGCACGCACACGAGTGTTCGTGCGCAGCAACATAAGCCGCT